TCAGGAAGCATAACAACAACTAAGGAGGGAGGAAGAGGGAGGAGGATAGGAGTGATTCTGAAATTAAGTAAAGAGTGGCAATTGAACTTGGACCCAGAAGCACCAAACCATGGCAACCTAGTCCAATCAGCAACAGTACAGTAACGCTGATGTAGCTGGTGGGAATTTTGTGTTTCTGGGAAAATATTTTTATAAAAAGAATGTAGACATTGCCAATGATTGAAGTGTCCTGAGATGTTATATTTGGGGCTATATCAATATAAAACTGAATGAAATTGAATTTAAATTGAATGTAATAGCGTAGATGGAAACAGCTGATTGAACAGAACCATTCTGGCAGGGTTGCCTCAAAACAGGAAAAAACATTCTGCCAAATGTTGTCCGGAAACACTTAAAGCACTTTTGAATAAAGACATTTTTGAATTTTCAAGATGCAGTACACTGTTAAAAAAGTACTTTTCCAGTAAAAAAGTAGCATTCTGTGGTTGGCCAGGAAACTGTACCTAATAAATACGGCAGAACTTTGTCAAAAAAAAAAATATATTAGTAGCTGTTGATTTAAAAATGTTTACCATTTAACCATACCAAGGCATAAATAAGAAAACGAATTTTTCGTGTAAAGAAAATTAAAAAAAAATTTTTTTTTAAAGAACTGTACTGTAATCTTCAAAACACTCACAATCTTGGTCTCCCACTTCATGTTCAGATTTTGCAGTGGATGTTTTCCAGACTTGCATCATAGTTGTGTAGTCTGTTGTTTATAAGGCTGCAAATAAAATTGGCCGTTGTAATATTTATTATTTATATTTAAGGTTTAAAGACTGAGGGCCTTTTGAGGAAATGAGCACATTCCCTGCAGATTAACCGAACCGTTGTTAGTTTGGTCATGAGGAGAAGTAACACGAAAATCTCGAACCTTTTAATAATTTTTTGATGAAATCGGCTTTCCTCCAGGAGCTGCCTTAGATAGAAAACAAAGATGCTTCTGCGTGGCCTGTTTATTTAGGAAATTACCAGAAACAACCACCCATTTTTACTTTTGGTGTGGTGGTGTGTGTGTTGTGTGTGTGTGTGTGTCCAGCTGAGGTCCTCCCAGATCTACAGGGGCAGCTGAAGTCCTACAAAGTGGTGACAGCTTTGCTCTGCTGTGTGCTGCTGGTCCTGTTACTGCTCCGCTTCACCAGACCAACTGTCAAAGCCCTGCAGAAAAGATGTGAGTACAGACACACACACAACAAACACATAGCACATATGTACATATGCACACATGCAATTTCATGCAATCAGTACTGACCTGAAAACGCAGATATTTTCAGATTAAGACTCTTCAGATTAAAGATTATGTCCAAGAAAGTCTTAAATCCAAAGATTCTGTCAGACACAACACAGCAGAGCAGAACAGCAATACACAACACAATATGAGTGTGATGTCTTAATAAACCTGTTACTGTTTAGAAATTATTTTGGCCTGTATAAAGCCATCAGTTCTCACGTCTTCCTGCTGCCTTTGGTTTGATTTGGGCTGGAGAAAGAAGTCAGAGCTCTTTAGGTGTGGTCATAGCTGTAGCTGTTGCTCATTATCAGTGGGTGTCTGCACCAGGTCTGAGTCACAGAACATTCTGTTTCAAAAGCTTCGTCCAGCAGGAAACTGATGTCCTTGTGTGGGAGGTATAGAGCCATTGTAAATGCTGCCAGCTCAGAAGGACAGGAGACATTTGGTTTTTGGTCTCTGGTCCAGTGTCGGATATAACGGACAGAGAGCTGTGCAGCAGGGACAGCTGGCAGTGTAAGAAAGGTCACCTCTGTGGAACGTCACACCAGCCTGAAGGTCTTTGAACAGCAGTGAGATTTTTAATCCGTCATCCGATTAAATTTGTTACACATAGAAACCTTGCACACTGAGTCCAATGCATTTTATTATTATATTTGTTGCAAAATTCACAATATGAGTTGACACACAATGAGGATGATTTTGTGGCCCTAGTAATGTGTTTGTAGTAATGTAAAAAAACAGAGACTTCCAGCTGCTGATATGAGCTCTTTGCTCTCTCTCCCTCTCCATTTTTTTTTCTCTCCAATGAAAGTGCCTCCAAGGTTCTTCCACAGGCTGTCGCCACTCTCTGCCCATATCTTGTATTTGAAACCGCGGCTACAAGAGGCTGAGCTGTCCCCCCTCTCTGTCCATGCACTGTCCTCATTTGTGCGACAAAACCAAAAATATCGAACCTGTTCCGAAATTTTTAATGATGGACGAAGTGTCATAGTCAGTGTGTAAAATTTTGGACAAAAAAACTGTCCTTGTGTTTAAAGGCCTTGAGAGTGCCAGCCCTGTACTGCATGTACTGCAACTTCACCATTAGCAACAATAAGCTAAAATACATTTTCACATATTATTTTATTTTAACTCCTAAAATCTGAGGGTGTGCCTTGTTTTGTCCGCTAAAAATGTTCCAACTTTTTGTAAAATGTTGTCAGTTAACTTATTTAAAAAACTATGAATGTCATGTATTTAGCATTTAGTAGGACAACTCTGAATGGTTTCCAGTGTCCCTGGTGGTACTGTTGGGTCTCTGTAAATGTTATAAAGAGTTCGTTCTAGACCTGCTCTATTTAAAAAGTGTCCTCAGATAACTTCTGTTATGAATTGGTGCTATACAAATAAAATTAAATTGAATTGAATTTAATTGGTTGTGAAAGTGTAGAAACCATCACTCACGCAAATGCCAC